CACAATATGGCCCACGTCGAAGAACCTGTGGACTTTTTTGGAGATGAATACGACGGACGATCAAGAGCAGCCACTCCTACTCGTGAAAACAATATGTACTCATTTTTGGGAGAGATTTTCAGAACTTGCCGCGATGCTACGGCAGAAGCAATGAGGAGGACACCCGAACGCCACGAACAAGTTGGGCGAGAAACGAACTGGGTGCCAGTAAGGATATACTACGGGACAGAACAAGAAGACCCCATAGAATGAATAGAGGCCTTCGAAAGAGCAGCAATGGCAAACAATTGGACAGGACGAAGAAGAACACAGATTGCCTCTGGATACCTCGCCGGGATAGCAGTCAGCTGGTACGACGATAATTGGCACACCATAGACCACTGGGACGATAACGAACACAGGGATCGAAGTTTCGTCCCGAGGTTCGTGGAATATTACGCCACCCCGGAACGAAGACACAAATGGCAGATGGAGCTCAACACGATAATACAGAAGAATGAAGAGAAAGTGGATACTTATGCGTACCGATTCAAGCAGTTGCTAAGACGCGTAAACTCGGAACATCACCTGCCGACTACATACATTATCCGATTGTTCACTGGCGGATTGAAAGGAGAGATTGCAAGGTTAATGCCACTGGTAGAGCCCACCACACTAGACGATGCGATCGCAAGTGCACGAAAACTGGAAGCAGGAGAATACTATACCGGCAGAAGAAAGGAGAATAACCCAGCTAACGACGCCATCAGCAGCCTAACGAAACAAGTACAAGAAATGTCATCAAAGCTGACCACGATGATAAGAGAGAAGGAAAATACTAGAAACCAGAGTTACCGACCTACCGGATGCTTCAATTGTGGAAGACAAGGACATAGGGCCCGTGAATGCCCCGAGCCAAGGAGAATACCACCACAAGTTACCAACCCTCGTGACGCGAACCTTTGCGAAGTAGAGAACAGCGACGACGAAGCTTACGTTGCTACTAGATCACGACACCAGCTGTACACCATTAATCGTCCTAAAAAGGGTGAATTGAGTAAGGAACCTACTGGAAGAACTGTGAGCCAGCCACGACAAACAGAACAAGCACGACCGGTACAACAGGAAGAGCGCGCCCAACCGACACAACCAGTAGAAATGGAGATCACGGCGGAACCTACAAAAAAGAATGCCACGCCACGAGTCAAGCGCCAGAGAGGACCGTCAGTAGTAGACCAAGCACCCCTATACAACGTTGCAGAAGACTTGTTGAGACAGAGAGCTAATGCCACGTATGCCCAACTATTACAAATTCCGAAGCAACGACAGCACCTGGCACAAGTATTGAAACGACCTATCATCACCCCCACGGAAGTTGACTATGTGGAAGACCAGCCCCAACGAACCTCAACAGCTAGATGTAATGTGAAGATAAGAAACAAACCAGTAGTAGCAGTATTGAACTCTGGAGCAGCAGTGAGCATAATGTCAAAGAAATTGCTTACCAAGCTCAGACTACAGATTTCGGAACCATCTAACGCTGTTGTCATCACCGCGAACAGAACACGGGAAAGAGCTTTAGGAAAATTGAAGGACATAGCACTACAACTAGGAAGAATTACTGTATCAACAGACTTTCAAGTTATAGAATCTACGGAAGAAATGATGCTATTAGGAATGAGTTGGTTTAAGAAGTTACGCGCACGCCTATATTTCGACGAACACAAGTTGATCATTACCCACGAAGGAGAAAGCATAGAGCTACCTATTCACCAAGAAAAAGAAGCTAAGATAGAGGAACCGGAAGAAGAAGAAGAGGAGGAGGAAGAGGATTACGAGGAAGATGATTATTTCGACACATACGAGGAAGAAGATCTAGATGAAGTAGAAAGTTATTTGACTGATGATCAGGAGGACTTATATACCAACACATGGATCGACGAGCAGAGCCCGGCAGCATATTTGACGACGATCAAAGAAGTTCCGACACCCGAAGAAATCGAACGACCCATACAACCTCTGGAAGGAGTAATAGAAGAATTAGTAAAAGACAATGTCATTGACGACGACCAACGAAAGCAAGCTATTCACTTACTGGAAGAAAATAAGGAAGCCTTCGCCGACGGATTGGATCAACTGGGACAAACTAACAAAGTACAGCACGAAATCGACACTGGAGAAGCAAAGCCGATTAAACAACACACATATAGAGTGTCACCTAGTGAGCAAGAGTTTTTGGAAGAGGAAATCCAGAAAATGAAGGGTTGGTAACTTGTGGTAGCATTCTCCTCGGCTCGGGGCATTCACGGGCCCTATGTCCTTGTCTTCCACAATTGAAGCATCCGGTAGGTCGGTAACTCTGGTTTCTAGTATTTTCCTTCTCTCTTATCATCGTGGTCAGCTTTGATGACATTTCTTGTACTTGTTTCGTTAGGCTGCTGATGGCGTCATTGGCTGGGTTATTCTCATTTCTTCTGCCGGTATAGTACTCTCCAGCTTCCAGTTTTCGTGCACTTGCGATCGCATCATCTAGTGTGGTGGGCTCTACCAATGGCATTAACCTTGCAATCTCTCCTTTCAATCCGCCAGTGAACAATCGTATAACGTATGTAGTTGGCAGGCGATGTTCCGAGTTTACGCGTCTTAGCAACTGCTTGAATCGGTACGCGTAAGTATCCACTTTCTCTTCGTTCTTCTGTATTATCGTGTTGAGCTCCATCTGCCATTTGTGTCTTCGTTCCGGAGTGGCGAAATATTTCACGAACCTCGGGACGAAACTTCGATCCCTGTGTTTGTCATCGTCCCAGTGGTCTATGGTGCGCCAATTATTGTCATACCAGCTGACTGCTATCCCGGCGAGGTATCCAGAGGCAATTTGTGTTCTTCTTCGTCCTGTCCAATTGTTTGCCATTGCTGCTCTTTTGAAGGCTTCTATCCATTCTATGGGGTCTTCTTGTTCTGTCCCGTAGTATATCCTTACTGGCACCCAGTTCGTTTCTCGCCCTATCTGTTCGTGGCGTTCGGGTGTCCTCCTCATTGCTTCTGCCGTAGCATCGCGGCAAGTTCTAAAAATCTCTCCCAAAAATGAGTACATATTGTCTTCACGAGTGGGAGTGGCTGCTCTTGATCGTCCGTCGTATTCATCTCCAAAAAAGTCCACAGGTTCTTCGACGTGGGCCATATTGTGTATGTTTTTTTTTTTTAATAAAGGAAATAAAAAAAAATTCGTTTGCAAGAAAAATCAGGGGGGTAATAAAGTGTCGTTCTATTCAAAGTGTCTCTTTCGTTTCTCTTTCTTCTTTTTTTTTTGTTGTAACTATCGTCATTCAATCGGGGTATCAATTCGTTTGTTCAAAAAAATTGGGGGGCGGGGTAGCGATCTTCGTTTCGCTCGAATCTCACAGTCACTACCAAATTTTGTGAGGGTCTTTCAAAGTCCTCTCTATTTCTTAAGGTTTTAAGGCTGAGGCGTAATAATTTGGTCCGAGTATCCTG